GATTGAGGCCATGCTGTCCGGCAGCCTCGGCCTTGAACCCCTGCTTCCCAGGGTGGCTGAGGGCCACCCGTCTGCATCCCCCCCAGCCACATAGTAGGACATGACCTCAGAAGCCCTTTGTTGCTGTTGTTTCTGCTGTTGTTCACCAGCAACTAGTAGACAAATACATACTGCCATGGATGTAAGAGTCAGGTCTTTGGTTCATTTAGCCCAGCAATGGCTTTCCAAGACTTTCCTTCCCCATCCCCTGCAATCTGACTTGGAGAACCCTGGTATTCTCAGGAAAGATCACAAGCAACTACAGGTGTGTTTACATTGGCCAGAATATTCCGGGCTCTTCTCTGAATATTTTGGCCCAAAGCTCTCCCAAATTCTCCATGCTACCTCTGCACTATGGAGCATTACCAGGGGATGGATCAATTCAACTTTAATACAGCCATAGGAGTTGATTACATGGGACCATATGTACTTCCATCCTGATAATGATTAAGGCAGCCACAACCCACAAAAATTTGCAATTCATGAATGATTTTCACATGCAGAACACAATAATGCATTAGAAGCTCATTATGAAAGCAAGAAATAGGGTAGAATGCACATTTGGTTTTCACACAGGTACATGTAAATCCCGATAATGGTTTAGGAATCACTTTTTTTGTGCATGTGCACAAAAAAATTAGTTGAATCAGCAGAAGTCACCCAGAGAAATAAACAATTTTATTTACACAATTTTCTTTATAAAAATATACTGTACTGTCCCTTACTTTCCAAGAAATAGTATCCAACCTAAGTAAAAAGAACAAAACATTACTCAAAGAAGTAGGAAATGTAGAAAACCAGCATAAAAGGCTGTGTCTCTCTCATCAAACGGTGTCTCTGCCTTCCCTGAGTGGGTCTTCCTTTAAGAGCCCCGGCTAATGGGCAAGGGCAAGGGAGAAGAGGCATTCACACAGACTAGGAAGAAGCAAGTTTTTTTCTCTGTGTCCCTGCCTTTGCCAACTGTTGCTTTAAGAGCCCTAGCCACTCATCCCAAGAGCCAAGGAAAATCCAGCAACAAGTACAGAAATGGAGAGAATCCTGCAAATGGCTTTCACAATAAAGCAACTTACAAAAAAAAAAAAAAAAAAAAAGCGAAGTTGTGAATTAAACAGAAATGAACTTATGGTATTTTCCCGAAATTGCCAATTTGCTGGTTTATGTCACTTTCCTGTTGGACTCCAGGCGGTTTGTGTGCAACATCATGTGAAAACCATTTATGCAATTGAGCCTAATATGCTGGATAACCATGGGTTCTGACCCATTTAAACTTACAATTTTCCCTCCCCCATAGACCAGCAAAGGGAATGGCTGTTTACATGTACATCATGTTGTGCTGCCTGGTGTTACTGCTGTTGGTGCAAATCACTCCCTCTCAAGTCCAAAATGAAGGTCCCAACATGGATCACATGGGCAATTCATTGTGACCACAGAGGGTTCAACTCTCACTGGCAACAACCATAGGACAAAGAAAAAGTAAGGGCTAATGTAGGGCTGGCCTGGGGGTGGAGTTGGGGTGGGGCAGCCATATGCCGGTCACCCCGACTCCATCCTGATGCCATCCTGATGCCATCCTGATGCCGTGCACCTGTCCACATGCCGTGTGGCATCAGACACACACTGCATCAAAAGGACACAAAAGAGCCATGATGCCGGCTTTAAGGGCGGCCTTTTGCCACCCCAAAAAGGAGCGGAATTTTGCTGCTCTTTTTGGGGCAGCAAAAAGGAGGATCAGGGCCACAGCATGTGGTTGCTGTGGCCCCGATCCACCACTCCCAGAGGCAGCCAAGAGCTGTCCCAAACAGGCCGTCTGTATCAGCCCTAATTCTTTTAAACCCCTTTGAAGACAATAATGCAGCAGATTTGGTGCAGAACTGGCCTTTCATTGTGAAAGGCAAGTTTCCATGATTGAATCAGGACTTTGGCTCTGTGTCATGAAAACAGGATGTCGTCTGGGTAGAGGAGGAAACAAGTTTAAATAGCCCATGTAGGCATGCCATGCCCTATGAAACAGGCCTGACCATGCTTAGCTTGTGAAATCAGATGAGAGGAGGTGTGTCCTAGATGGTGTGACATATGCTTAAAGTAATATGAATGATATGAAACACATTGATGTTTGTTGTTGTGTGTGTTCAAGTCATTTCTGACTTTTGGTGACCCTGAGACAACCCTAACATGGAGTTTTTGTGGCAAGATTTGTTCAGAGGACATTTACCATTCCCTTTCTTTGAAGCTGAGAGCATGAGACCTGCTCAAGGTCACCCAGTGGGTTTCATGGCCAAGCAGGCAATTGAACCCTGGTCTCCAATGTCACAGTTCAGCACTCAAACCACTACGCCAGACTGGCTCTCCATAAAACACATAGTAAAATACAATATATAGCCATTATGGAGCTTATTGCATGGAGTTAAAAAGGCAACTTATCTCTTCTAGCTTAAATCTTCTTCCGGGCTGCAGCCAGGTACCATCACATGTAAATCACCACCGAATCCACTGGCTGAATCCACTCTGGGTAAACCGCAACTCTGAAGCTGCACTCAGCTGGCCCTTTTTCGAAAATGGAAGCTTCTGACTTTGAAAACTGGCCAGCTGAATGCTGCTTGGACCCACATCTTACCTGGGCTGGATTTGGCCAGTGGTATCATGGCAGATTTGGCAGCGACTTACATATGATAACACCCCGATGTATCCTGGGAGAAGATTCAAGCCAGAAAAGATAAGTCACCTTTTTAACTCCGTGCGATGAACTCCTATGACTAACCATCAACCCATCTTCACTTTCAGTCATAGATGGTACATCTCAGATTCCTCCTTACAACTAGGTAGAGTCTTCAGCCTACTCTGCTACAAGAGTTCAGTGAGCTTTTCACCAATTGACCATATTATTTTGCTACTAATCCCGCACATTTTATTCATTCCAACATAACTGTCTCTCCTCTTCTCCTACGATTTCTCGTCCAGCCTGCTGAAATGATGGCTAAGTTATTAGTGGTGTTATTTTTTTTTTCAGACCTCTAAAACCAGAGTCTGTGTTTTAAAATAAAATATAATATCTGGGTTTAGTAAAACTTCTGCTTCTCTTCTAGTCACAAAATAAAAGAACTGAATAGAGGGATGGGAAAGATAATTAGCCCTTGTCACAATGCCTGCTGCCAATGAAAGAATTCACAGTATGCAAATCAGGTTAAAGCTACCCTGAGTTTGTCAAGCCTTGCTTCCACTGATAGAAATTGACAATCCCTGAGTCAAAAGGCAAAATATGATCTCTTCCCTTTCTTTTCCACAATCCTGTTGTCTCTTCACTCGGACCAGCCTAAGGTGTATGTGTTAATAAAAGAAATTAGAAAGGCAGGCAGATCCTTCCTTATTAATCACACGCACTTTGCTCGGCAGCCGTGTCTCCACATTCAGGCTAAAATAGGGATTAGTGCCTTTAAAACATACATACATTTTGTACAGGACAAGTTTCTTTTCAAATGCATTTTAAAAGAAAGGGGCGAAGGAAGGGTTGTTTATTGAAAACAATCTCACTATGCCCTATAAATTTGAATAGACAGAATGGGGAAATGAATGGCTGGTTGAGATATTATTTTGGAATCTATTCTGAGGCTACTCATATAAGGAACATAATCATTGTTGTTATTTGTTGTTGTGTGCCTTTGATTCAACAGTTGTAGTCCAACACACACGTCGTTATGCCACCCTGGCTCTGAACGTAATCATACTTAAGACTGTGTAAGAGAAAAGGTTAATAATTAAGAGGATAATTAAAATTAAAAATTAAAGTAAATACTATTCTTCCTTGTCCTCCTTATCATCAAAAATATAAGTTATTGCCTAGAAGGAGCTTACTGTCCACATTTGGATCATGGATGGAGATCAAGAAAGAGGCAGAACTTGGTAAGTTAAGAAAAATAAATATACTGACCAGGTACAGAAAACATTCAGGGATAGTTGTGTTGGCCATTTAGGAAATTCAAACAAAAATCCATCAGTGATACCTTAATTGACCAAGCAAAATGCACAATATACTTGTTGCAAGCTTTTGAAGCTCCATGGGTTTCTTAATCGGGCAAGATGAGAAGCTCATACACTCCAACAGTCCTAATTAATCCTGTCATCCAGCCTTTCCAATCAATTTTAGACTGTTCCAGTTTTTCTCTCATCCTCCCACTTTCCTTTGTGATGCTACTTCAGTTGCCTCAAAATAAATTCAAAGTGCAAATGTTGCTTGCATGGAAATAAAAACAGCAGGGAGGGGAGAGAGGAAGGCAGGATCTCATCCCTCCCAGTAGGCTTAGTCAAAAGCAAACTGCTGCAGCCTCTCTTAATTTGTGTGTTCTTCTTAATTAATAAATCTTGTGTCTTGACCTCACTCTGATCTGCGAAATTTTGGAGAGTATGCTTTGCTTGTAATAAATGGGGTCTTTTGACAATCTGACCTTTTTCCGTAGTGAAAATAAACCTGCAATAATCCAGCAGAGTTTGTGATTACCTGTTTATTTAAATTTCATTTTTAATTTATATTTAAAAACTACAAAAATACAATAAAAATTAACAAATACAATTAACACACCAATGTTGCTTGGTCACATTTGTCCTAGGAGATTATTGCATTGATTTTTCAGCCCGATCTGTGCATCGGATAGGATCAGGCTGGAATGGGGCAAAATTGGTTTTATCACACACAAAATTGCTACTGCATTGCCAGCTGGCCATCACCCATCCCTGAGCCACGCTCTGCTGGCTGAAGCTTTCCATAATACCAAAATTGGGCAGCAGAGCGTGGCTCAGGGATGGGTGATGGTTGGCCATCAATGCAGCAGCAATTTTGTGTGCAATAAAACCCATTTTGCCTTGTTCCAGCCTGATCCCGTCCTGTGCACGGATTGGGCTGAAAAGTCAATGTGATAATCTCCTTAGTTTTATCTGTGAAATAAGCTATGTGAGCAATGGTAAGATGGTGCTAGAACCTAGAGAGAAGTTTTCAAAGCACTTCATATATACTGGCCTAAATCCTCTTTCTAGTCACTGAAACAATGGGATTTGCATATGAGTTGCTCATTCAACATTTGGTTCAATGGGCTACTCTAGTGGAGAGAGCAAATGAATTTAGATCAGGTGTGTGCAAAATGAATCCATCCAGATGTGCTTTCACTGCATCTCCCATCAGTCTATCCAATCATGGGAGTTGTATTCTATCAACACCTGGAGAGTCTCATTTTCTCCCCCTTGAGATTATTGTCTCAGTTATTTTTATGTCAATTTTTCAAGAGGGTGGGTTAATATTTTAAATAGGGGAGGGGATGGTCATTGGCAACTGATTTGTTTCAAGGCACAATTCAAAGTGTTGATTATGACCATTAAAGAACTATACACCTTTGTTGTCAGAAGGACCATTCCTCCCTATATGATCCTAAGATCTTGTGGGGAGGGCTTTTTCTCTGCCCTGCCACTCTTACAGGTACATATATATGGTGGGAGAAGGTCTTCTTGGTGGCTGCTCCCAGGCTGTAGAACTCCCTTCCTAGAAAGATTAGATTGGCACTCGCCTTGATATCCTTTTGTAGACAGGTGCAGACCTTTTTGTTTCGGCAGGTTTTTGAGGGCTGACTGCTCAAGGGGAAAGGATCTTTTATGTGCTAAGCCATTTAGATTTGTTCTTCTTTTTCATTGTTTTCAGTTGCTTTTAATTTTATTGTTGCCTCCTTTTGTCCAACTTTAAGCTGCTTTGATTCTGAGATATGGGTAAAGGTGAGGATGATGCTGATGCTGATTCCTACTTTAGAGACTACAGTTCTCAGTTCAAAAGACCACTCAGTATTTGAAAACATCCTTT